AATCGGGGTCCTTGCGATCCGGTCCGTAAAGTGAGTCTTTCAAGTTTACTCGATGGCTCGCTCTATATCTGAGGCTGAACTTATTGCCCGCTAGACACGAGATCTCATGAATCGTAACTCTGCATGAGTTTGTTCGGCATACCGTCGGAACATATCGTTGTCGACTGTTTTTGCGGCGTCTTTGTGGAGTCATCTGAGGTGTAGCCCCTACTTCCTCGGTCGGGATGTTTTGAACATTCTCCATGCTAAGCAGAGGTGGGAGGGGCTGTTCGTTAATCCTAGTGGAGTCATTGCGTGAGCTCGGTCCGGGGACGTCCATGGTTATGGTCGATGAGCTCGCACGCAAGTTAAACGCAGGATATGTGTAAGCGTTGGTAGGGGTGGCGAAGACCCCTGAAAAATCTAAGCGCGACCGAGGGGTTATGAATTTGGAAGGGGTCACAATTTGGGTGACCGACTGGGAGATCTCCCGCATTTGAGGTAGGAACGATCTCTCCTGCTGCTCGAGTCAGGCCTGGACTGTCCTAACCGAGGCGTCCTGTGTCTGTGCTTTTTCTACCAAGGTAGAAAGCAGCCGACGGATCTCGGCCATCTCGTCTTTCGTCCGCTCCTTCTTTCCGGTTGGAGGTTGCGGAGCGGACATGTCCTGGAAACCTCCGGTCGCTTGGTCCGTGGAGATGTCCGTATTTCTTAACCACACGCCTCGTGCGGGCGCTGGGTTGGTCGCAGCGTTGGTCGCAGCGAGACCGACTGTGACCTTTGCCGGCGGGCGCATGTCGGTCAGGCTCGCTACTGTTAGTCGGTTGTCAGCCGGAGCCGTGGCGTTGGATCCGGTTTTGATTTGGTCCCTCGGCTGGGATCCTGATGGTTCTTGACTCTGGGGAGTCGTGGTCGGCACGTCGCTGGCTTTCGACGCGGTAGACTTTGATTTATCTAGATGTATCTATTTCTTCTCCTTAGACGGCGCCAAATGTGGAAGCTGAATTCCGCACTGAGTATTTGTATGTGAATTCGGTGAAGAAACCTTGGTCCAAAGAAATGTCTATAAGCTCAACGATTAAAAGAAAAGTAGAGTGGAGCTAGATTTATATTGATATGAATCGAATATACAATATGGTCTTGTCTGAGACGTATTACAAGCTGAAAATATTGGGTTAAGCTCTCGCGTGTGTGTAAAGTTGGCGAAATCTGCTTGGATTTCTTCTATTTATAGCTCAGCTCAGCTCCTCGATCCAGTTCCACATTCCTAGGGCGGTTCTGTGTATCTCGGGCACGATCTCGGCATATTCCCCGCAAATCTCGCTCCTACGACTGAGATAACCGCTCCGTTGACTCGTTCCAAGCTCAATCCCAGCTCGTTATCCACGCGCCTGTTGACTCGACCCTTTCGGGGCTGACCTGTGCCTTAAGAGAAATAACGTCTAATTCTTTGGGTTTGGGCCGCGTTGACTCGACCCTTTCGGGGCTGACCTGTGCCTTAAGAGAAATAACGTCTAATTCTTTGGGTTTGGGCCGCAGGCCCATTGATTATGGTCAATGTTCTGCGAATGATAAGCTTTGACATGGGCCTTTAAGTGGGCCGGATTCGGTGACGAATCCAATCCCAACAATGATGTAGTCTATATATTTAATCACACTTACAAATATCTATACATTTCATTATTGGAAAACATATATTTTTTTTTATTATCCAATAAATTAATATAAATCTAACCTTTATCAGATTTATCGTATTTTCAATAATTTATACAAATAATGAAAATCAATTTTACACTTAACCATTTGCATATGTTTTGATTAATTTTACTCATAAAAATATTTAAACTAATTGTATTAACATATGTTTGATCAAAAGTATTGAATTTTTTATTATATTTATGCAGAATACATATCATTTTGTACGTTTATAGATATTATAAATTATATTTTTTTTATATGTTCAAATATAAGAAGTTGTATATATTAAAGTCGATTAATCAATCTATTTAATTATTTAATTCTGCGCTTGCCACGGGGTCAAAATCTAGTATATATATACGTTTTCAAAACGTTTCTGTTTCTTGTTTTTTCTTAAAAATTCGTTTCTGCATTTCTTAACGTTTCTCTTCCGTGTACGTGTTTACGATTCCATACCGTTTAGAGTGAAATAAAAAAAAAATGTATGGTGTATATGTAGGATGTTATAATAAATTTTGTTTAAATAATTTACCTCTAGCAAAAATAATGTTTGGATCCGTCCTTGTACGCTATTGGTAACATCAGTTTAGTAAGACTGTCATCTAGCTAATCACCAACACTGAAGTGCGCCAAATTGAACGAGACCACAAATATAGTGAAAATATCATAGAATGGAAAATATTATCCACAGAGAGATATTTAGTCACGCATAGCTTTATGATATGGCACAAATTAGATTGGCACCTGATTTCAACTCCCAAACTTAGTTTCATGGTTTGGTTTTCACTCTCATCAAAAATCTTCCCCGCAAGAGGTGCTTGTTGGTAGATCATCTGTAAATGCAAGAGTTGTTGCTACAGAGAGTACTATAGGTACTGGTACAGGAAACGAACACAATACACAAGGTTTTTTTTCCAAAAACGTTTTACTAGATCAAACTATAAGTTTCACTTATCAATTTCAATCCTAGCCTCACGTATTCGCATGATCTTGTGAACCTATCACTACCCCTTAGCCCATTTGATCAAGATCTCTTTTCTAGACAATCTTAAATCCCCTTTGCTAAGAAATATGCTCTATCATTGTGTTGACTGCCCAACTAGGCTAACACGTCCTATTTATACACAATATGAAAAAACG